CAAAGCACACAAAAAGCTAGAGACAAGGAGGGTCACCTCATAATGCCAAAGGATAAATACACCAAGAAGATGTATTTCCTGAGGCATGCATTTAATAATTTAGCCTTAAAACATATAAAGCAAAACAAACTGAACCACAAGGGGAAACAAATCAAACAGGTCTGTTTATCTACTGGGAAATGTTAACATACTTCTTTTTGAAAGTTACAGAAGAAACACATACACAAAAAAAGTCAGTAAATATATAAACAATTTGAACATAATTAATAAACCTGACCTATAACGGGTATATAAAGTACTATATTAAGCAACTGCAGAATATTCTTTTTTTCAAGCAAACAGAGAACATTACAAAATTTGACCATATACTGGGCCACAAACACAAGTAGTGATGTATTTTAAAGGAATGTTCTCTGACCGCAGTGCAATTAAGCTGAACATAAAAAAGAAAGATTAATAAAAGTTGCATTAAGAAAACAGAAAAAACACATAACAGCAACTGATCTAAGAAAAAAAGACATAAGTAACCAATATCACAAATGAAATTACTACAATTCCTATAGAGCTGTAAAGGAGAGGTTCATGAAGAACTTTATGTCAATAAACTTGAAAACTTAGGTCAAATGGACAAATTCTTAGAAAAATGTAATCTAGTAACATTAACTCAAGAAGACAGAGAAAACCTGCAGAATCCCACAAACAGTAAAGACTATACCTCAGTGACCCAAACTCTAAGCCCATACTGGTTCCTTAATAATTTTACCAAACTCCCAAGGAAGAAGTAATTCCAATATTAGTGAATGCATCCAAGAATAAAATGGGAACATTCCCAAATAATTTTATGAAACTGGAATTATTTTGATATGGAAACCTGAAAATACCAAAAAGGAAAATTAAAGGTTAATCTCACTCATGAAGAGAAATACAAAATGAGAGCATGGATAAGGTGAACACACCCATATAATTCACATGAATTCTGCAGAGTATAAAAAGCATGATATGATAGTAACACACCATGCAAATTTAGCTTAAAATAGAAAACGAATTAAAAGATTGCTCATATTAGAAAATTATAGATTAAAAGAACAAAAATGAAATAATCAAATACAGAAAAAGCACTTGATAAAATATAACCACCATTCATAATAAAATCTGATAGCAAACTAGGACTAGAACCTCTATAATCTAGACATCACATTTAATCTAGAAAAAATTTAAGAGCAAACATCATGGTGCAATCTTGGAGGTTTTCCTTCTATAATCAGGACTTATAGAACAAAAATGTACAGAAGAGTTAACATAGCAGGCCTGAGACTGTTATCTTTAGGTGGTTTTGCTTGCAAGGCTGTCCCTTGGCCGGTGCCTGGAAATTTGAATGATTGTAAATGGTTCCCTACACTGACTTTTCCTAAAACAGTAAGTGTGGTTCACTGTGCCTGAATTGTTTGTATAAACAACATGGTTTTATTTGCTTTCCTTCTGGGAGTCTGGAATTTGGCACTTGCTAGGCAGAGGGAGGGTGCCTCTGTGACCAGCTCCAATAAAAACCTTGGGTAGTGCATTTCTAATGAGCTTGCCTAGTAGACAATACTTCACAAGTGTTATCACAACTCACTGACAGGAATTAACTGCATACTGTGTGACTCCAGATGGAGAGGATTCTTGGAAGCTTGCAACTGGATTCCTTCAGATTTTGCTCCTTTTCTTTTTGCTAATTTTGCTCTATATTCGTTCACTGTAACAATTTTTAGCCTTGAGTACAACTGTATATTGAATCATGTGAATCCATCTAGCAAATCAAACCTAGGGAGGACGTGGGACTTACAACATAAATACCTACTATCGTCATTAGTACTTGACAATGAATGGGAAGTCCTAGCTATTCCAATAAGAAAAAGAGAAGAATAAGGAGAGAAAGATAAAAACAAATTGGGATGAATCGTTTATAGAGAAAATCTCAAGGAATCGATAGATAAGGCACAAGTATAGATTTTATTTCTATAAAATGCAGATTATAATGCCATAAAATAAATAACAACAAAAATTACATTCTTCAATACCAGCAAAGAGATTAAAAATAAAAAAGAAATACTATTTTAAAAAGCATGAAAAAATAAAGTGCCTAGTAATAAATCTTTTTAAAAAATTTATTTATTTATTTATTTATTTGAGAGAGACAGGGAAAGAGAGCAGGGCAGGAGCAGAGGGAGAGGGAGAAGCAGATTCCATGCTGAGCACAGAGCCTGATGTGGGGCTTGATCCCAGGATCCTGAGATCATGACCTAAGCCGAAATCAAGTCAGACACTTAAACCGACTGAGCCACCCAAGCACCTCTAAAGTGCTCAGGAATAAATCCAACAAAAAATATATCAGATCTTTACAGAGAAAATTATAGGTATTAAAAATATTAAATAAATGCAGAGATTTAAAAGATTTAATGCTGTGAAGAAGTCCAATCACCCAAGTTACTCCATAAAACAAATGCAACCCCAGTTAAATTTCCCAGGTGGGGAAAGGGGAATGTAGAATCAGTAGGCTGATTCATCATATTTGTAGAGAATTACAAGGAGCCATACCCGTAACTAGAGGATAGCCATACTCCAGAAAATGAACAAAGTCAGTGGAATTACTCTAGGAGGTAGTGAGTTGCAGTAAAAAATTAAAATTGAGACAGTGTAGTATTGGTGTGGATAGACAAGTAGGCCAACAGAAAAGAAGAGATAGGCCAGAAACTGACCCAAGCAAACATGGATGCTTGATATATGACAAAGGCAGTCCTGCAGAGCAGTAAGGAGAGAATGAACTTTTCAATAAATGGTGCTAAGAAAGTGGGTTATCCACATGGAAAATTAAATGGGATCTCCACTTCACATGATACACAAAAATTAATCCCAGGTAGTTTACAGATATAAATGTGAGATGCAACACTATAAATAAAGCTTTTAGAAAATAACTATGGGAGAACCGCTTCATAACTTCAAAGTAAGAAAGAGTTTCTTTATAAACATATAAAACTACTAATTATAAAGGAAACATGATAAATTTGACTACATTAAGGTTAAGATCTGTTCATCAAAGATATTATAGAGAGTGAAAAACAAGCCACAGAATGGAAAAAGGTATTTATAAATAACCAACAGACATCCAAGAAATACAAGGAATTCCTACAAACCAGTAAGAAAAAGAAAAGTTGACCAATAAAAAGATGAGCAAGAGACCTGACCAGGCATTATACAAAATGAAATCCAAATGGCCAATGAAATATTTGAAAGAATGCTCAATCTCGTTAGAAATAAGAGAACTACAAATTAAAAACCCCGATAAAATTACAAAGCCATCAAATCGCAAAAATTTTAAAACTCTGATCAAATCAAATATTGGAGAGGATGTGACAACAGGTACACACAACACTGGGAGTCTAAACTGGTATAACCACTTCGGAAAATGTTTTGGTTACATCTAGTAAAACTGAAGATGTGCGCACCCACAACAGAGTAATTCCATTCCCAGGTATAAACCCTAGAAAAAAACAGGTACGTACATAAACCACAATTCATAAACAAAAGTGCTCAGCAACACTGTTACGGTTTTTTTTGTTGTTGTTGTTATTACAGAAAACCTGGAGTCCATGTTATAATAGAAAACTCGGAGTCCATGAACAGAATGGATAAATAAATGATGATATGGTCCTAAACTAGAAAACTATTCAGAAGAAAGAATGGATCAGGGAATGGCACAAGGGAGTGGCAGGGAATTTTTGAGAAGTTGGTAATGTTCTAATTCTGGACCTGGGTGGTAGTTACATGGATGTTCACTTTTTAGTTATTCATTAAACAGTGTATTTGTATTTTATGTTTTTTTAATATGCATGTAATTCTTTATGATAAAAACAAAAAATTTAAAAAGTAATTTATCTTTTAAGCAGAATTTTAGAAAAACATGATGCATGATAATTTTTCTTTCAGAAATATGAAATGTCAAGTCTGTACCAGTAATAACAATAAGGTGTTTTAAAAGTGCTAAAATGCTGCAACTCCAAAGCCAAAATGGTCTTTGAAAAAGGAACATAATTCTATGACATGATTTAATAACACTATTAAAATTTCTAGAACAGCAGTTGCAAATATTTCAAATACATAAGCTTTAATTTGCATGCTTAGCTTAAGGAATGCAAAAGGGATGAAAAAGTATGAAAATTAGGTGTAGTAGAAGAGAAAGCCCTGTTAGTTCTTCCTTCAAAATTAGAATCTGAACACTTCCCAATAATTTAACAGCATTATCCAAGCCACCATCATCTTTCACCTCAACAGCAACAGCTTTATAACTAGACTCCCTGCTTTCAATCTTCCATTCTTGCCTACTAAAGCTCATTTTTCAGACAGCAGCAAGAGTGATCCTTCAAAAAGCAAACATGCTCAAAACCCTCCCATGGCTTCTATTTTCACTTAGAATATATTAGGAGCCCTCACCAGTTTCTCTAAACTCATGTTCAACATTCTCCTTACTCACCTATGCTTCAGTCACCCCGTCCCCATTTTAATCCTCAAATACACCAACCTCATTCCTAACTCAGTCTTACTTACGCTTTTGTCACTACCTGGAATAGTCTTCCTCCAAAGGTTCACGCGGCTGCCTCTTTCTCATCATTCAGATCACTGCTTAAATGTCATCTCTCAGAGAAGCCTCTCCTGACTACCGTATTAAAAACAGTCACGACCTCCTCCCAACAAACACCATTTTCATTTCCTTTTATCTCCTGTGCTTTACTTTCTACATGCACTTAACTCTATCTGAAATTATATTTGTTCCTCTACTCATCTCCTGTCTTTCCCCACAAAATACAAGGTCCATGAGGGGAAGAACTTTGTTTTGGTCACTGATGTATCCCTGGTAATTGGAATAGGTCTGGATCACAATAGCCACTTACTATATTTATTAGGTGAAAAAAATGAATCTAACTGATTAAAAGAATTCTAACTGGAAGAGATGAAATACTTACATGTTTATTGCTTATTGGTCTTTTTAAGAAAGCATCTCTAGAAATGTGGTCTGCCGTTCTTGCCACATCTTCCAAAAACCGATAATCTAAAAATTTCAAAATAGAAAAATAAACTGACATATGCCAATGGCCAGGAAGCATCAATCTGCTATGCATAAGATGACTTACCACTTAGGAGATTCATTTCAGTAAACTGTTGTATGGAAACATATGCAGTCTTATCCCGGACTCCATTACAGGTCAGTTCTGCTTTGTGTTTCTTTACACAGGGCAAACTGAAGAGACAAATGAGGTGGTACTTTTATACTCTGAGGTAAGAAAGGTACAGACAGAGGTGGTAAGGTAGGAAATTACATACATACCTGCAGGAATATCGCATACAACGTGGACATTTGTACTTTGCTTCTTCTGTACCACAAGTTTCACACCTACAAAAGCCCACAAGAAACTTACTAAGTTATCAAATATTAATTCTACTTACTGACTTATAAATTTTTAATGCTGAGTCAATTACTCATCACAATTTATAGACATGTAGTCAGTGAATAAAGTACACGGAAGTTACTCTGATAAAATACTTGATAGCTGTCAAACATCCTTAGAACATTCTCCTCCAGGAAACTGTCTCCGTCTCCAAATGACAACTACATTTACAACGTTGTTAGTACTACATAATCTAAGCAAACATACATTAAATTAAAAAAAAAAACTCACTTTTGACTTCTTTTTCTACTGCAATCAGAGAATGAGATTATTCATTAGTATTTTAACTTGTAATTCCTGGCAGTCTGCTAAAGATTGTGTGTGTGTGCACCTATACCCAGAAGTCCAATCCATGAGTTTACATACCTTAAAGCAAACATACCAAAAAAGAATATGAGACCAGGTCAAATTTACAGAGTATCAGCTGTATCTTTTCTCATCTCCACATCCAACTTAAAATTAGCATTAAAATAATCTTGAAATGCTATTACCCATCATCTATCTCCAATTACTCTTGTAGGATCTTGGGATACTGACAACCAAACTACAGTCATTTCTATTTGGCCCACTGTGTTCTAGACAGTAATAGTCCCAAGAATCTGATTACTCTTATATCCCACGCTGTCACATGATCATACACTATAAGGAAATTAAACATAAAGCAATAAATATGCATACTATCCATAAAGAAAGTAAACAGCTGGGTGAGTTCAAGTGCATTTTTGTCTAATTTTAACTTAATCCATGTTGTCATTGTTAGTTTTATTAGGCTTTTCCTTATGTCTATCCTCTTTTTAAAGAATACTGAGTCAAGAACATATTAGATCAAATCAGAATCTGGTCCAAGGGTTTTCTGGTCCCCAGAATTTTCACTTCCTTACTTGGCCATTGTCCACTGCCCACTAACAGTCTGACATATTTTCACTGAATTTGTTGTCCTTTGACAAAACCCTGCCTTCCCAATTACCCCCTCCCTCCACCACCAACACGCACGCTCCAGGGACCCAAGTTTGCATTTATTTTTCCACCATCATTATGCCACACCCGGCTGCTAGATTTCCTTCAATCCAGACAACAGAGGACTCCACAGCTTTATTTCCCCGATGAATTGCTCCCTGTCCTACCTTGACATGGCCAGTTTCCGTTTGAAACCCACTGGTGGATTTATCTGAGGCTCTTCTTTCACCTTTGGATCATCCATCACTTCTTCCTTTGGGAAATACTTCTCTTCTTTTACACAAACGTCATCCATCATTTCCTCCTTTTTTATGTTCTGAGCAACAAACACCTCCTCTTTTATCTCCAAGTTATCTTTCTTCTCTTCCTTCACATCTAGCCAGTCCATCACCTCTTCCTTCACCTTCACTTTCTCTTCTTTTACCACAAAACTACTATCCATCTCCTGCTTCACCTCCAAAGTGCCTGGTTTCTCCTCTTTCACCTCAGGCCCATCCTTCACCTCCTGCTTTACCCACCGGCCATCCAGCATCCCGTCTTCCATTTCCGACCAGTCCATAACTTCTTGTTTCACAACCGTTAGGTCCACTCGCATCTCCTCTGCCGTTTGTCCACTTCCTTCTCTATCCTCTGTCTTCTCCATTCCTGCCTGTCCATCCCCCGCTTCTACACTGCCAGCGTCCGTCCCTGCTGTGCCCCGGACTCTCTCCCTACCGGACTCGAGCTTTAGCCGCGCCCCCTCAGCTCCACTCTGCAAACCTCCTCCCAATGTCCCTTCATTTTCAACAGCAGTATCCATCAGCTCACGACCTCTGGCCTTCGCTGCCACTCTGTCCTTCAGTGTGGCTTGTCCACGCCAAAAGGAACGAATTCTGGGTCGGAACACCGACAGCTGCCACGTGCGGGACCGAAAGCCGCAAGTAGCAAACACCGGCCTGCAGCTTTCGTCCAAATCGTCGTAAAGCAACACTTCCGCGCCTCGCCACTTCACGACTCGTAGAGCCCTTTACGGCTCTGCGGCAAGTCCGGGCCCAGAGACACGCGAGAATCGGCGTGAGGCCACGCCCTTGTGAGCTCACTTTTGGGGCGGGGCTTCATCAAACCCTGCCCCGGGGGAGGCAGCCTCCGGCCGCTTTTCCCGCCCCCAATCCGTGCTTGGCCACACTCCTCGGTAAAGAGTGGACTTGAGGGGCGGAGCAGGGAGAGGCAAATCTCTGACCGTTTTGGAACGGTTAAGACCCACCCTGGTCTGTATTATCTTGTATGAAAATGGAAGAAACACTTGATGCCACGGCTCGGCAAGCTTCATTCTTCACCTATGCACTAGAGACGATGGTGTTGTTATTGTGAAGATTAAATGGAATCATGCATGGAAATAAGCCAGTAGTTACTGAAATAAACTCAATAGATGGTGGCTATTGTCACAGGGAATCCTGAGAGGTTTCAGATAGGAAAGAAGGAATTAATTTTTATTCTTTAAGTTCCGTCAGTAAGAGCCCACAACAGCTAGTTTCCCATTCCCAGCATCCTACAGGATTCTCTCTTTAAAACAAACCGAGCATTGCTGGAGTGGTGGGGGTGGGAGGGATGGGGTGGCTGGGTGATAGACATTGAGGAGGGTATGTGCTATGGTGAGCGCTGTGAATTGTGTAAGACTGATGAATCACAGACCTGTATCTCTGAAACAAATAATACATTATATGTTAAAAAAAAAAAAGATCATAGGAAGGAAAAAATGAAGGGGGGGGAGTTGGAGGGGGAGACGAACCATGGGAGACTATGGACTCTGAGAAACAGATGGTTCTAGAGGGGAGGGGGGTGGGGGGATGGGTTAGCCTGGTGATAGGTATTAAAGAGGGCAGGTATTGAATGGAGCACTGGGTGTTATACGTAAACAATGACTCATGGAACACAACATCAAAGAAAAATAAATAAATAGGAAAAAAAAGAATGTGTGTGTGTGTGTGTGTGTGTGTATCCCTAAAGACTGGGCCAAAATTTCAATACCCAGGAATAGAAGATCTAAAAAATAATACAAAAATGCAAAAAACAAAAACCACACTTTTATCTATCTCAATTACTTTTTTAAAAGATTTTATTTATTTATTTGACAAAGAGAGACAGCAAGAGAGGGAACACAAGCAGGGGGAGTGGGAGAGGGAGAAGCAGGCTTCCTGCCAAGCAGGAGCCCGATGCGGGGCTCAATCCCTGGACCCTGGGATCATGACGTGAGCCAAAGGCAGACGCTCAACCACTGAGCCACCCAGGCCCCCCTCTCAATTACTTTTCAAAATTATTATTATTACATATGGGGCATTAGGCACTTTCACCTAATCTTCACATCACGTCTGCGAGGTGAGGTATTTTTCTCACTGTGTAAGGAAACTTCACAGGAGATACATTTTTCTTGCTGTATAAAGGAGACTTCAAAGACTTCAAAGCAGCTGTAGGGTGCTTTGTATTATCTCCTCAATGCAGGGCATTTAACTGTTATCACTCACTTGCAAGTTGGTCAAAGAATGGGAATTTTGAATGGGTGAGCAGAGCGAGGGAGGGAGAAAATTTTGAAACCCAGTTGGGGCACGAGGGATTAAGTAGTGCTGGAAGGAGCACAGAAGTAAATTGGGAGAGTTCAGTACAATCTTCTTATGGGTTGTGAGAAAGAAGCTTCCAGAGGAACCATATGGATAGTCTCTTTTGGAGATACTTAGAGATGCTAGCTGCCGTGGAGTCAAAGAAAGCCTGATTGGATTTTCAGGCCAGATCACATATTTACACGGGGGAAAGGGGCTAAATGGTAGAAAGAATCCATGTGGTTTTTGCTAAAGACAAGATTTGTGAGATGGGAGCAACAAGAGGGAGTGTTGATCCTCAAGAGAACAAAACCATCCAGATTTCCATTTAAGAAAGGGAAAAGTTCTGGAATTACAGATCAGGCACCAGAAGCATGAAGACTCTAAGATTTTAAAACTTTTGTCATTTGTTCTTGTAACCTGTGTTTTTTTAACAGTCACTGGAGGAAAAATCGTTAAACCAGTAAGGCTCATTGATGGCATCACAGCTCATCATTTACCTAAGTTAAACATTCCACACTGTGGGATGGTAGTTTTAATGGAGATACTGGAAGTTGTGGTGATATTGTTGAATGGTAGTTTTGAAGGAAAAGGGAGGCTTGAGTAGTCCTGAAAGAGGGAACTTTGGGTTGTTGGAGTATAGAGCACAGCATTGTATGCAAGAAAGGAGATAGCACAAGGACAAAGAAAGGGAGGCAGAAGTTATGTGGAGCTGTCGCTGAATTCCTATCCAGTTCCTCAAACTCCTTTCTCCCCCTTTTCCACCTCGGTGGAGTACAGGGACAAGCCCAGCTCCTTCACAATAGGATTGTGCTTATCATTTCTGTCTCCTGCCTCTGCCCTAGGCATCACCCTGCAGCTCTCCTAACCACTTTGAGAAGTGGCCCTTTGTCAAAGTCATAGTGGAGTTCATTTTAACAGCCAGAAACTTAGGAGTGCTTTCTAGGAAAGCATCTTAGCTGTGATTGAAATGTCATGAAAAAGTGTATCTTAGGGATGGTTAAATCATTTCAGCAGCTCAGTGGGCTCTTTGTGTAGTCAACTGTCTGCTTGACTATAGAATGAAGATTATAAGGGCCTTTCCTGACCCTTCAATAGGTAAGAAAACAAAGACCCAGAGAAATAAAATGATTTGTTCAAGATTAAATGGCTATTTAGTGGCAGCACTGACACAGAAAATTAACATTCTGGTCAAAGCCCTTTGTTTGCACTTGAGCTAGCTTAAGATAAAGGCCAAGAGTTGGAATTTCAACTGTGTCCACACAAAAGCCAGGAACCAGAAAGCCTGGAAGTCTGAGTTTTATTATGTATGTGTTGTGATGTGTTGCAGGTGGGGCTATTCAGAAACAGATACTGATAGGAGTTGTTAGGGATCGATACCTGTGAAGAGAAAGGGGAGGAAGCAGGATCGGCCAGAGAAAGCATTTAAATTGTGACGCAGGTCAGACCAGCCTTGGCCAACCTGATAGGTAGCTCAGAGAAAGCATTTGTCTTTAGAGTGTCCCACTTCAGGCAGAAATGCCTCATACTTTATATCTGGCCCCACTAGGTCATCTGACACAGGCTGTCCCAGAAACGGCTTGATCTTGGGCCAGAGGCTTCTCTGCAGCTGGAGCTGACAGCTGGACTGCACTCTTTGTGGCCAGGTAGCAAGTCCTTCTTTGGAGAAGAACTGGGCAGCACATCTCTGTGGCTACCACGGTATGAATGTGTGCCTCTAGCCACATGGCTTTTTGTCAGAGTTGGCTTCATCCTACTTTCTTTGTAGGCAAGTTGTCTCTCTTCTCCATGTACCTTGTTAAAAAAATACTGCCATTCCACAACTCCAAGGTTTATATATCCTCAGTGCTTGTATAATCATGGAGACTCACTATTGTCTAATTCCAAGTGTTTGGGGAAAAGAATCTGATTGGATCAGCCAAGTAGGGGAGGTAGGGAAAAGCTCTCCTTTGCCAGTAGCTAGGTGACCACTCTGAGTCTCAGTCAATCTATCTGTAAAATGGAGATAGTTATACGTATTTCACAGATCTGTTTTGAGAATTAAATAAGACAATGTATGTGAAAGAGCTTTGTAAATAGTAAAGCATTCTACAAATATAAGTATTATTTTCCTTATCCTACCAGTAATTTTGAGAGTCCTGCTGATGATAGCTTGCTTAATTGTTTCCTCTTTCGGTTCATGGAGGACAAAGTTGAGATAATCACATTTCCTAGTTCTGGGCACATTCTTCTCATGTGCAACAACACTTTCCTTAATATTTTTGCTATTTGTACATCTCCACTATCATTACCCTCCCCTTCGCTCTTATACATTTAATATGATTCCATATATATATATATATATATATGTCTTTGTGAAATACGTAGAATTGTTTTATTGTGTGCATCTTTTTAATAGCTTCATTGAGCTATAATTCACATAAAATAAAATATGTCTATAATAAACATACAATTCAATAATTTAAACTTGAAATTTTATACAGTTTTGCAACCATCACCGAAATCCAGGTTTAGAACATTTCCATCTACTCCCATCCAATACCCTTGTTCCCATCTGCAGTCAATCCCTGTTCCCATCCCCAGCCCCATGCAACCATTGATCTAATTTCTATTCCTATAGATTTGCCCCTCCTGGAAATTTCATATGAAATAATATAATATGTGGTCTTTTGAGTCTGGCCTCTTTCATTAAGCTTAAAGTTTTTGAGGTTCATCCATGTTGTAGCATGTCTCAGTAGTTTATTCCTTTTTATTGCTGAATAATATTCCATTGTATGGATATATCACATTTTGCTCATTCATTAGTTGATGGGCATTTGGATTGTTTCCAGGTTTGGTGTTATGAAAAATTCTGCTTCCACATTCCCATACAAGTCTTTGTGTGTATATTCTCATTTCTCTTGAGTAGGTACCTAGGAGTGGAATTTCTAGACCATATCATAAGTTTAATTTTTAAGAAAGAGCCAAACTGTTTTCCAAAGTAGCTATACCATTTTACATTCCCACTGGCAGTGTATGAGGGTTCCAGTTTTTCTACATCCCTGCCAACAGTTGGTATTAATTGTCAGTCTTTTTGATTATGGATAGATAAGGGTATCTCACTATGAATTTAATTTGCATTTCTTTAATGATTAATAATGCTGAGCATTTTTTTCATGTGCTTACTGGCCAGTTCTCTATCTGGATTAGTGACATATTCAAATCTGCTTTTAAATTATTTGTTTTTTATTACCAAATTGTAGTAGTTCTTCACATGTTATAGATAAAAATCTTTTGTAGATAGCCATCAGGATGTTCCTTAATGATTCCCACCTCCTGCTATCCGTGCCAATGTATAAAACTTTCCCAAATTATCCAGGATTGGCCTGTGTTACTGATAGCATACAGCAGAAGTATATTGTGTTGCTCCTGAGATTAGGTTTGAAAAATGGCTATGGTTTCTGTTTCAGGCAATTGCTCTCTTACTCCTCTCCCAGATCACTTACTCTGAGGGAAGCAAGCTGCCATGTTCTGAGTTGCCCTACCAGGAGGGCTCATGTAGCAGGGAGCTGAACTCTCTATTATAAGGCTGAACTGTGTCCCTCCAGAATTCATATGTTGAAATCCTAATCCCTAGGACCTCAAAATGTGGCTGTATTTGGAGATAGGGCCTTTAAAAGGTGATTAAGTTAAAATGAGGCCATTCAGGTGGACCCTAATTCAGTCTGTCTGGTGTACTTCTAGAAGGGGAAATTTGGACGCAAATAGAGATCAGGGATGTGTGCACACAGAGAAAAGACCACGTGAAGACATAGCAAGAAGGAGGTCATCTGCAAGCCAAAGAGAGAGGCCTCAGAAGAAATCAAACCTGCCAACACTTGATTTTGGAATTCTGGCCTGCAGAACTGTTAGAAAATAAGTTTCTGTTATTCAAGCCACACATTTGACCTATTTTCTTATAGCAGCCCTAGCAAACTAATACACTGGGCAACAACCAGCGA